AGTGGGGATTTGAATCCTGGTCTCCAGAGTAATTGTGGCATAGTGGTTTGAGTGTTGGACTGCGACTCTGGAAGCCAGGGTTCGAAACCCTGTGAAATGCATTGAGTGACCTTGGGCATGCCACACTCTCTCAGCCTCAGGAGAAGGCAATGACAAACCTTCTCTGAACAAATCCAGCCAAGAAAACCCCACAATAGGGTCACTTTAGGGTTTTTACAAGTCAGAAATGACTTGAAGGCACACAACAATTCCAGAGTCATAGTCCAGTGCTCAAACCACTATACTATGCTGACTCTCTTTGCATTTACTCTGTCTGCAACTGGGGCTAGTTCTCTCTGTGCCATTTTCTGCTGCCATAAGGAATTAACTTGAGAAAATGAGGGATATGCACTGGCAAAGGGGAAGGTGGGGAGTGGAGCGGCTTCTTATTTAATGGGGAGCTATTGAGATGTAAGAAGCCATTTCTTTTTGTCACTGAAAAGAAGGGCAGAGGGGCAGATGTTATGTGCCTGCCTGAATAAGACAGTGAAGGTCATTTGGGGAAAAGGGTGCAAAGAGAAATGGCAACACTGGAATATTTGAGAAGAGAAGAAAGATAAGTTGGAAGCTTGAAGAGGAGAGCAAGAAGGGGGGAGTGAGATTGCCATGAAAAGAGATTGTTCTCTGTTTTCCACACACAGCACCTATCTGTACTGATGTTCCTTGTCTTTGCTGGGCATACAGACAGGAGGCTGGGGGAGACAACATTTATATGCATGCAAGGTCATGCGCGCATGCACAAACACAAAGTGAAATGCAGTAATCACTCTGATTTTGTTGGTCTCTTTACCTGTCCACCTTGAACAAGGCACATAATTACAGTGAGCCTTGGGATCTGCTGGGGTTTGGTTCCAGGATTCTCAGTGGGTATCAAAATCTATGGATGCTCAAGTCCCGTTATATACAATGGTAAAATCAAGGCTGGCTTTTTTAATTATTTATTTTGGGGGTATTTTCAAGTCATGGAGGGTTGAATCCTTGATTGCAGAATTCATGGATATGGAGGGCTGACTGTATATAGACAACCATTGTAGTTTGCTTAAAATAAGAGAGGCTGGGACTGCAAAAACACCTCATTTGTATCCTTTCATTCAAAGCAGGGGTAGGCAACCTTTTTGAGCAGGCAGCCGGTCCAGCGAAGTCCCTCCCACCGCTGGGCCGAGGGGGGGGGGAATGGCGGTGTGCACACACGCGCGCACCCCCTGTGTGTGCTGCCACCCCTGTGCAGCTGCCACCCTGCGCATCGCTGCCGCCATTTTGATTTTCAAAATGGCAGCCGTGATGCATTTGCGCATGCACAGGAGTACTACACATGCGCAAATGAGTCGTGGCCGCCATTTTGATTTTCAAAATGGCGGCCGCAATGCGTTTGCGCATATGCAGGAGTACTGCGCATGTGCAAACGAGTTGTGGCTGCCATTTTGATTTTCAAAATGGTGGTTGCGGCCGTACGATGGCAAAAACGCACGGCGGTAACCTTCTGCCTGGGCCAGTAAGTCCGGGGAACTGGGCCTTAACCGGCCCGCGGGCCATAGGTTGCCGGTCCCTGATTCAAAGCTTGTACAGATCGCTTTTTGGATTACATCTCCCAGAATTCCCTAACTAATCTCGCCAGTAGCCATGTTGTCAGGAGGTTTCTGGGAGCTGTGTTCCAAAAAAGTAACTTTCCCAACTCTATAACCATTTCTTTTAATGAAGGATGTTTAAGGATGGACTATCATGCAGACCCAGCATAGCATAGTGGTTTGAGTGTTGGATTATGACTCTGGAGACCAGGGTTCAATTCCCAGCTCAGCCATGAAATCCACTGGGTGACCTTGGGCAAGTCACATGCTCTCAGCCTCAGGAGAAGGCAATAGCAAACCTCCTCTGAACAAATCTTGCCAAGACACTGCCATGGTAGGGTCACCATGAGTCGGAAACGACTTGAAGGCACACAGCAGCAACAAATTGTGGAGGTGGGGTTTGGCTTAAATACACTAAAGTCAGCAGATCCCATATGATCTTGGAAGCTAAGCAGGGCCAATTCTGATTAGCACATGGATGGGCCAATGAATATCAGGTGCTGTATGCTTTCTTTTAAAGGAAGGAACTGACAAAACCATTTCTGAGTATTATTTGCCTAAGAGTACCCTATGAAATTCATGTGGTCACCATAAGTCGACTAGCAACTTTAAGGCACAGAAATCATGGAGAGAGGAAGAATATGGGTCCTGGCATTTTAGAACAAGTTCACTGTGCACTCCAGTGATGTGTTTGTTTTAGTGGGAGATGCTGGAATGAAGTCTGCCTGCAAATCACAGTGGTTTCTCAAAGGATATTTGCTCTTGGTGATTATTTTCAATGTTTCTGGGCCAAACCTAGCATGCAAAACGGGTCATGTCCTGATGCCTGGTGATCGGTAGTTTAAACCAAGTCCAAGTGGCACCCTCAATACTGTACCTTTTCTGCTACTTAATTTCCAGGGTGGCCACATGTGACAGTCCTCAGTTTGTGGTGCTATTGGAAGATATTTTTTGGAATGTGTCCATTTGAAAAATTGCCAAGTTTGAGTCCGGTTTAAAGATGAAATCACATAAGAAGGTATAGAAGTAAAATCCTTGAGGTGCCCATTGGAAGTGAGCACCTGTAGAGAAGGTCATCTGGCCACAGTCTCTCCCTTTCTCCACCCTACACCATGGTGAGAAGTATTGTGTTGAGTATGTAGTAATAAATATTTGCAGATGTATGTCTATACAGATACATTTGCATGTGCAGATTTATTTGGGTCATGCATTTCTTCCATTTTGATCATGTCTCTGTGGCTACTCTGTTTATCTCTCTCTATGCGGAGATGTTCTAGCAATATTTCAAGGCAATATGGTCCCCCACCCCCGGCATGAGAAAGGTCTGTACCAGGGGTAGGCAACCTAAGGCCCGGGGGCCGGATGTGGCCCCCTGAGACCTTTGGACTGGCCCCAGGCCAGTCCTGCCACCACCACCGCCCCCCGCTGCCTCCTGCTGCTGCCCACCATGATGATATTGATTATTGTTGTTATTACTTGTTCTTGGGTTTTTCTTGGCAAAATCTCCACAGGGGTTTTGCCATGGCTTTTCTGGGGCTGAGAGAGTGTGCATGCATCTTTTTCTATTTTAATTTTTTAAATTTTTTATTTATTTTTATTTTTATTTTTGGTGCTTCGGCTCCCCAATTGTCTGAGGGACAGCAACCCGGCCCCTGGCTCAAAAAGGTTGCCTACCCCTGGTCTATACAGACTTCTGCTTTCTTGCTAGATCTGTAAAGCCTTCAAAGGAAATGGCACAGTATGGTATCTGGAATAAAGGACATCCATCTCATATTTTGAGAGAAATTGCCCTTGCCAGGGGATGCAGTGAGTGGATGGAAGGGGAGGAAATTAGCTTGTATTATTGGTCCATGCACCCATTACCAGCTGGCCAAGATCAATATCCCCCTCTGTCTTTTAGCCTTTTGTATGGGTTATGTGCAACCCATCTATCAAATCCAGCCACTCTTCCCTCTGCTTTCTGTGTTACTTCAGCAACACTATGCATATGTCCATTTCAGGCTCAGCTGTTTCTGGAGGGGAACCCCCCTTTTCCACTAAGAATAAAGCGAGTGTGCAGAAGGGGAAATGGAAGGAAGGAAGATTTTGAGGAAGGTCATGGAAAGGCCATCCATAGGGAACAGAAAAGGACTTTTCAGCTATCAAAGCACAAGACCAGTGGAGTCAGGGTGGATATTCACTGTGCATCAGTGCGGTTCCTTCCTTCCTTCCTTCCTTCCTTCCTTCCTTCCTTCCTTCCTAGTATCTTATCCATCCTTGATAAAAATGTGCTTATGCCTTGCAAAGTAAAGCACCTTCCCTTCCTCCTTGCCAGGTGGCCTCCAAGAGTTTGCATATTTTTAAAGTTGCAGCAGACTGAGAAACGATGAGAATTAGAAACGAAAAATTCCTTTTTCTTAATAGAGGGTTAAACCAGAGGAAACCATGGCCCTCCAAATATTGAACTACTTCTCCCACTAACTTTCAGCATTATTCAGTATTATTCAGTCAATCATTTATATCCTGATTTGTCCCCAGAACTGACAGATTACAAAATTAAAATAAATATAGAGAAAAGGAACAAAGACATAAGCAAAACCATACAAGACATAAGCAAAACCATACAAACCATACAAGTTATTGTTAAAATACAGTTAAACTATCAATTGAGTTAAAACCTGGCAGTCAGTTTCTACAAATCTGCGGGAATAAAAAAGTTGTCAGTTGCTAATGAATAGACAATCAGAAGGGAGCCATTTGAATCTCCCCATTAGGGAGAAAATTCCCTGGGAGCAGCAACTGAGAAGGCATACCCTCTTATTGTCCTGATTTGACAGGGGCACTCCTGATTCATCTTCTGCTGTCCCACTATTTTGGCTGCTTTTGAAATGTCCCAGTTTCTCTCTCCTCCTCCCTCTTTGTCCTCAGTTTGCTGCAGACTGAATTCAAAGTGCAAAAGTGCAAAAATAGTTTGCCCTCAGTTAATGCAGGAGGGAGGAGAAGAGAGGAGGGGGTGGAATCTTGTCATTTGCAAAAAGTTCAGGTAAAAGCAAACTGCTGAGCCTCTCCTAGCTTATGTTTTCTTCCTCGTTAATAACTTTGCCATCTTGACCACAGTCTGGTGTGGCTTTGCCACATGTGTCTGGTTTTTGTTTGTGAACTCTTGGATGGCCTCTTTTGGAGAACCACCAGATGTACATATGAAGGTGGACTAAAAGAAAGGACCCTCTTGAAGACCTTAGGGCCCAGATAGGCTCATACAGGAAGACACATTCCTTCAAATAACCTGGACCTGAGTCATGATGGCTATGTTGACTGGGGCTGATGGGAATAGATAGACAATAAAATAGTCATTGCCCAGCCTTCAGTCGATGGTTGAACTTTCAGGACACAGGTCACCTTCTGTAATAGTTTTTGTTGCTACTGCTGTTACTACAGTTCACAGTAATCAGAAATCTCTCTTTATTGAATAAGTCTCCAGACCATTTCAAATATATACAAAAATGTTAAAAGTAATA